GGATATCCGTTGGATTTGGATTTGGTGTTTCTTCTGAAAGGGTTGGGGGGGGGGGCCCTCCGGACATCCTCACCCTACGCGACCAAAACAATACTGCAAGACAACCAGTACGTGACGTCACGGCAGCCATGTTGATTGTCAAGAACAAAAGCTTTTCTCTCCTCTGGGAACTGAACTCTATTTTTATGTAAATTCTTTGCGAAAAAATTCTATTGTTTCTACGCCCAATATTGCCGCCTTGTCACGTGGTTGCAAACCGAGAATACTCGCGACGATCATTTAAAAAGCGTAGTGCGTAGCTTGTGCTTGAAGTAGCCTGGTTAGGGAATATCTGTAGTAAAACGTGACCCAGTGTGTCATTAAAATACATATGACTTATCAGTTATATGACTGTCCATACGAATTCTGCAAACCTTATTAGTGATTCAACATGGCTGAGTTTCTTAACCGTGACGGGTGGTGCTTGTCCAAAACCGGAGCTTAGTACAGTAAGTCCGGGATTATTATGACAGCCTCCAAAGAAAAAAAGGAGAAAATACAAGCAGCGTCATCTTTCACCTTGCAAGACCTATATTGGTTCACCTGATTAAATTAAAATTATCACCTGCGAGATAAAAAAAATTCAGGGCAGCCTTGTTCTCTTGGAGGCTGCTTGCTTGACGTCAACACAAATGAAAAATTTATGAACAACAAATTGTCTCTTCGGTTTCAACCCTGTTTCATCAACAAACGTTTAACAGCGTGAATGAAGCGAGCAACCAATCAAAAAGCAAGAAGTTTCCACAATTTCTTAATCATTTTTAGTTGCTCCATCCCCTTGATTCGCAAAATCTTATGATATTTAAACACGTATACACTCTTCGTCTGCGAATCAGCATGGTGTAATTTTGGCTTCTTTGTTATAACAATAATTGTACAGGTGAACAGAAGAACCAGAGGAAAAACAAACCTTTCAGATCTCTCAGGTAACTGTGAAAGTTGTATATCATAATTTCTTTTAACATTATTTCTATATTGTTAAAGTGCTGCGCCGTAAAATTTGTTTCAATCAAGTATAGTCATGTTTTAGGCTTTTTTTGGCACTGTAACAAAAAAAGAAAAAAAAAAAAAAAAACCGGCTCCAAGGTATCTTTTTTTCGTTTCATTTATTCACGATTTCGATTCATGTTTTCCTTTTAGTTTCGAGTAAAGAAAATTTAAACTTGTTATCTCTGAAATTTTTGAATTGGAGGGAATAAACGACTAA